TTAGTAATAAGATTACCTAAGGAAATGAAACCCCGCAAAAGAAACGATAAACGTGATATCTATGTTTGAGAAAGAGCCCCTTATGAGGGAAAGAAATACCGACTTATTTTCTGATTTAAAGATAATACGAATAATCATCTTTGGATTAGAAATTGTCATCCTCAAGACTAAGTTGAAATAACCTACCCTACTAATTTTATTTATCCTTTTCTAATAACTCTACCTTTTACACATATTTTAAAAAAAACATGAACTCTGATTATTTAGAATTCCTAATATTTACCGAGAAAATAACTTAAAACTTATGAACTACACAGCATCAGAATTAGAGAGATCATTCAAAAAAGTAGCCCGAATTCGCATGGGGAAAGAATATGCTAGAGATGATGGCTATTGAACCGGTGGAAAATGTGATTGAGGAGGTGGACACAATTTAAAAACTGACTGTCAAACATTTGCTAACGGTTTTAATAAAATTAGCGGCTTAAGAGATATCAAAGAAGAATTAAAAAAATGCACTAGTAAAAGTGAATATGATGCCAAGAAAAACAACTACATTCGGCAATGCGAAGAAGCCCTTACTGGATTAAGCAATAACACCAGTTCTTCTTATATATTTGGTGTCTGTTGTATTTGAAGTGATGCAGATCCTAAAAAAACAGTTGAAAGCAAATTAAAAGTTGTTCGGGAAGATTTGCAGAACATAAAGAATGCCCTAAATAAAGAAACCTATAAGTGAGTTCAAGAATTAAAGGAGTTAGAATTAGAGATAAACCAAATTACTCAGAAAATGGAAGAAAATAAGAAAAAAGCCATGTCGGAAACTGATCCAGTTAAAAAAGCAGTACTTATTCAATCCATTGAGGAAGATGGTTTATTACTTCAACAGAAATACAAGAAAAAACAAGAACTCGCTAATAAGTTTAACTTTGATCCAAAAAAGAAAGTTGATAACTTAATAGAGTCTATGAAAAAGGCTATTAAAAAAGGTAAAAAGAAAAGAACTGATGGTTCCGGAGGAGGAAATCATAAAAACCCCAATTCTTCTGATGCTAATAGTTCTGACAGTGAAGATGATTATAGTTCTGATGATAGTAATAATGGTAATGGTGGTGGAAGTAGAAAAGACAAAAATCAAAATCCACTCCAAAACAATCAACAACTGATTATTATTATTGGGCTCGCCACTTTAGTTATTTTCTATCTAATGAACCAAAAAAAGGAAAAAGAACCTAATTATTACGACTTCTAACATGACCAACCCTCAAGAACTAAAAAACAAACTTGGTGAATACACTAAGGAACTAGAAAGTAAGTTAGAACCCTGACAACGCGGAACCTTAATTCTAACTCTTATTGTTTTACTTCTAATCTCTATCTACCTCCTTACTAAAAAAGAAATCCCAGAACCTAGAGAATTAACTGATGCTGAACGTAAAAAAATAGAATCAATCGCGGAAGAACGCATTCTAAAAAGGGCTGAGTTTTTAAACAGACTAAGAAAATAACATGTTTGAAGAAGAAAATGTAGAAAAAGAAAGTAAGCAAAAGGAGAAGATGCAGTTATTAGTTGTTCTGTTCTTAGCGGGGATTGGTTATTATTTCTTTATCTATCTAAATAATAAAAGAGAAGAAGCCAAAAAAGAAGTAAATAAACTATTTCAGCAAAACTCTTCTATTACTACTGCTGATTTAGATTCCAATTTATGAAAAGATAAAGAAACTTGAGAAGAGTATGTAGACAATTTGTATTTAAGTTCTCAGATTAATTTGTTTGTAAGGAAAATTAAGAAAGTGATTAAAGAAAAAGCCGAAATAGAACAGGAAAAACCCAAAAAGGCTCGAGGGAATGCTAAGAAAGAAATAGAGGACTTTGCTAAAAGTAATTGAACTAAAGATGAACTAAAATCAGTAGAATTACAAAAGAAAATAAGAGAATTTAACAAAAAGATCGATAAAACTTCGGCTGGTGAACTCTCTTCGGTTATAAATGAGACCAACGACTTTATCATTGATATAAAAGTAAAGAGGCAAGGCTTGCACTGAAAAAGAAAGATACATAATTGAGCCGATCGATGATTATTAAGAAACCGAAATAGTTTTGAATCAGCCTGAGAAAAAATGGCTAAAATGTATGGTGGCATAGAACCTGATTACTTTGACATTGCTGCTATTTATGAAATCAAATTTCCTCCTTCTATTTGGAGTGAACTAACCGAGAAACAAAAGGAACTAGCAAAGGAAAAAGGACATAGTGAACTAAAGCTAAAAGATGAAGTTCAAGACTATAAATTTAGTACTTTAATTACTGATTGAGAAGACAAAGTTAGATCTAATCCTGTCCGAGGCGAGTTAGACCCTAATGACCTTAGCAATTTAGATAATAATGCTCTTTTTTACGGAGCACCTCGCACCGGTAAGTCAATAATGGTTGAAAAGATGGCTTATGAAATTGATAAATATCCATTAGTAGTAATTCAAGGCTCCACTTTAACCCCTAAAAAACCTGATAATGATATTGGTGCTACTCTTTTAATAAAGTTTATTTACACCGTTAGTGATATAACTCACAAGTTAGTAGAAGATTTTGGTTTCGAAAGAGATGAAAAAGATGGCGAAGTTCGTTATATTTTGTTCCTAGATGAATGCGACCAAATTTGCACAACTCATTTACTACCTCCCAAAGATGCTTCTTCCCAACTAACCTTTTTAAAAGAATGCATGGGCAGCGATAGTAAAGAAGAAGAGAGTAAAAACTTATGAATTGCGGCTACTAATCATTTAGATAATGTTAATTCAGCCGTCTATCAGTCCGGAAGACTAAGTAATCGCTTGTCTTTTAGTTGAACCATTGGAGAATTTATGCAATATGCTACTGATGCGGGAATTAATGCTCAATTTCCGCAACGGTGAATAGATGATACCGTTTTAAACGACGAAGACAATAAATGAGTGAATAGATTCAATAAGATTATCTTTGACAAAGATTTTTTACCTTTTTGAAGTAAGTTCATTGATAAAAATCCTGAAGCCGAGTATGAGCCAGAGGAGGATGAAAAGAAAAAGCCCGAGGAGTGTGAAGATGATAATGACAAAGAAGATGAAAAAACGAAGATCAAATGAGGTGAAATGTTCGAATTCTTTTGAAGACTAAAAGACAGTAGTCAATTAGACAACTTTGATGGTAAATTCGTTAATCCTCGTGACCCTAAAATAGAAGAAGTAATAAAAGAGAGTTCGGTATTGGCGGCCAATCATATCAGTAAAACCATAGACAGACGTTTGAAAGATGTTTGAGAAAGCATAGGAAGAATAGAAGATGAAATGACTTCAGCCAATACTGCTTATTCTAAAATCATTAAGGAATCAGTTGAAGAAATAACTACTCTCTTATCAACGATAGGAAATAAGATCAAATAAATATGACTAACCAACAAAAAATAAAACTAATCGAAACCAAAATAAAAGAAATCAAATCAGCCCTTGCCCTTTGAACCAAAGAAATAGAAAAATACACCCTAACCCTTCAAAATTTAACTAACCAATTAACTCAAACCAAATTACAAATAAAAGAAAATAAGAAATAACTATGGTAGAACCAGTATCAACAACACTAGTAGTAGTAAAAGGACTTTGCTGAATATGCACCTCCTTAGGAATTGGCTATTGTGCCAAAAAAGCCCATGATGCTTACAGCAAACACTCCAAAAGGCAAAAAGAAAGATTAGCCTTAAAAGGAAAATCACTAGAAGAAGCTCGAGAAGACAATAAAAAGGCTCGCGAAGAAGAAAAGAAAACTCGTGATGAATTAGAAGAACAAGAAAGAAAAAATAAAGAGTTAGAAAAGGAATTAGAACAGGCTCGCAATAAAGTTAATGACCCCTCACTTTCTGAAGAAGAAAGAGCTAAATGAAGAAGGAAAATAGTAGTTTTAGAAGAACAATTATCTAACGGAAAGGGAAATAGCAAAAGTCTTACTGATAAGTTAAAGAAATTAACTGAAAGAATAACTAGTAATACAAAAATTATTTCTGGTGTAGGCTTAAATACCGATGACAAACATTGAATTTGAGACTTAATTACTTTGGAAAATATTCTAATAGTAGCGGGAATATGTATAGCCTACAAAATTCTAAAAGATGATGACAAAAAGTAGTTTTGTTCAACCAACTTATCAAAATTATCTTAATGAAAGAAAATTTAGAAAGTAGAAATGGTTTTCCGGATCCAGTCAAGGCACAATGTTTTAAGTGTCAAACACGATTTTGAATCAAGTTCGTAGTCCCACAACAGAATTATAGTCGGAAAAATAATTGGAACTACTGAACTAATCAGTAAGGAAGATGAGAATAAAAAGATTTGTAATAATTGTTTACGAAGTCTTTATCTTAATGACAAGTCAAATTATCTAGAAACTATTAAAGATCTAAAAAAGAGGAAAATATTAGGAAGTTATGTCAGCAGTAATTTTGTTTAGTCTGTTTGTTATTAGTTCAATGTTGAAAATTGTATAAAATTATGATATAGAAAAAACTGCTATGAACATGAGTCCATACACATTCCGATCTAAAGTTGAGGAATATATGAAAAAGGCAATAAAAGAGTTGGAAAAAGTAAAGAAAATCGCTGATATAGAGGAGCAGTGTAATAAAATTAGTTTTATTGTTAGAAAACACAAACAAAATCTTGAAGAGTTAAAACAAGGAAAACCAGAGGACATTTCTTATTATGAGAATTATTTGCCTTTTAATTTAGATAAATATGAAAAGAAAGTCAAAGAGTTAGATGTTTACTGGGGAGAAGTTGCAGGTAAATCCAATAAAGTTAGAGAGCAAAAACAAAAAGAACAGCGAAATAAAGAATATGAGTTGAAAACCTCTCATTGTGCTTATTGCAAAAATAAACCCCCCACTGATCGTTATGTTTACAGTAAAAAACAAAAAGAACTAAAACTGTCTACTAAAAATGCCTCTCCGGATAAATCATGACTATTCTGTTCTAACGAGCATTTCGAAAAATGACATAAAAAAAACTATTTCACTTGTGCGGAATGTTTAGAAGAAAATTACACTGGTCAATATAAGAAAAGTAAAAAAGATGGTCAGAAATTTTGTTCTAGTGAGTGCTTTCAAAAGAATTATGCTGAAAACTGTGATAAATGTGGCGAAAAAGCCTTAGGAGATACTTATTATAGCGATGCTGAAAATAAAACTGGCACCTTGTGTTCTAAGTGTAATAATGAATATACTTGTGAAGAATGTAGAATAACTAAAGAAGGCAGATATCGGTATCATACTATCAAGAATGATAACAAAAAATTTTGCTCTAAACAGTGTTTTAATGATCATTATTCAGAAACTTGTGTGGATTGCCGAAAAAAAGTTTATAGTCCCTATCGCGATAAGAAATATCCGGAGTTAACTTATTGTTTTAGTTGCCATTATGAAGCGAAAAAACAAGGTAAGGAATTAGAAAAAAGTAGTGAAGGCTTAGGGGAGGCTATGGATGATTTAGTAGATGGAATGGCAGAAGCAGTAAAAAAAAGTAAAGAGGATGAAAAGAGTTTAAATGTGAATGATGAGGATAGTAGTCTTTATAATAATAAAGACAACAATTCCATATCTAATAAGAGAGAGAGAGAGAGAGAGAGAGAGAGAGAGAGAGAGAGAGAGCAAAACCAGTCTTTCCAACTCGAACAAGAACTATTTACCGTGGATTTTAGGAAGCATAGGAATAATAACCTTAATAGGTCTAGTTTACTTTCTCGCTAGAAAAAAAGAAGCCTAAACAACTACTCTATCGCTACCATCTAAGTTCCTCCCCCAATAAATCGGATGACTATCACTTTTAAATCCTCCACACCCATTAATAATCCACGGCAAATCCCGCCAAACTCAATCCTCCTCTAACTTAACCTCCACATACAACTTCCTTGGGTCAACCATCCGAAACCCTTTCACCACATACACTCGCACCACTTTCTGATGAAACCATACCACTCTTAAATACGGACTCTGTAAATTAAACCCTTTCCGATTTTGGCAAGCTATCACTAATCCGGCCTCCGTATCTTCCTTAATCTTCCCTAACTGTAAAAAAGGCAAACCATCACTAATATTCTCCGAACCTAAATCAAATAACCTATCCCGGGCTTCTTCCATTCTTTTTAAATCTTCCTTTCACTCACTTTCGGCACCTTTTCCCGATTGTCATTTTTTTAAATATGCTCCTAGTTCGGCTCATTCTTCCGCTTGAACTCCATTCTTAGCCACTAAATTAGTTCATTTCCAAAAAAACCGCATGGCTAAACTATAATTAATCCGGCCTTCCAGCATCTTTTCACTATCACTAGCAAACAATTCATCCTCTCGGTCGGTTAAAAACATCGGCTGGGTATTTAATTGTCGTAATAAATCCTTAAACCCTTCCACTTGCCTAAATTCTACCTCTCAAATCACTAAATCTAAAAAAAGGCTGGAACTCTCGCCAATTATTTTATTATCTAATAGCCTTTTACACCTAAAAAGCAAGGTTTTATCTCCCTCGGGTTTATTTAGCAAAGGGTAAATATTGCCCGTAAAATAAGCCCGATAACTCTCAATTAAGTTCGCTACTTGTCCGTTTAATCCTTGGCAATACTCCGTAAACTTTTGCTTAGTATCTTGGTAAGGTTTAGGCAAAGGTAAAAGCTTAAATTCTTTGCTTCACATCTGCGGATAATCTTCTTTCATGCGGCTAAAATCTACGAATAAGAAAAGGCTGTCCCAGGTTTCTTTGCGGGTGTTAATAATTTGCTCTTGGTCGATTAAATTATTCTGCTCTAAATTACTCATAAACTTCTCCCATTTTCTCCACTCAACCAGGAACCATATCTAAATTCTGAGTAAAACACATACAGTTCACTTTATGCTCATTCCTCTTATCCCGAGCATACGGACACTTGTCATCTACTCCTTCTCTTTGTAAGAAACCTCAATTATAACTCACCAAATCAGCGGGCAAGGCTCTCCCCGACACTAAAAAATCACTGGTTAAAGTGGGAATTAACTTTAACAAAATATTATTCTTAGCTCCCCGGACAGAGAAAGTTCAGGTGAGAGTTTTCTTTAAAAGTTCTTCGTGGTCGAACAGGTTAAAGATGGCTGACCAGTCTTGGTGGTAAATTTGTCGCAAAGCTGGGTCTAACTTCCTTAACTCACTTTGCAAAATTACCCTTATCACTTCTAATCTTTCCTCATAAGGCAAAGGCAAGACCTCTATGCGGATAGCAAACCGGTCAGCAATAAAAGGAGGAACATCCTCGGTTCGGTTCACGGTCGCTACAAAAATACATTCATTAGTGGGCGTGGGAAAATCTAAAAAGGTATCCGTAAACCCTTTATTGGTGGTAATGTCGGTCGGTATTCCACAAGCTTCTTTACATTCGCGGTCGGCTTTTTCAATCTCGTCAAAGCAAATCACTGCTCCGCGGTCTTTTCTTTTGTAGATAGCTTTTAAAACTTCTCCCGGGTCTGCTCCGGGGTTTTCAATGCTGGTTCCCGTAATAAAACTAGCTACTTTTTTACCATTCATCCCCACCAATTTCTAAATAAGGCAAATTTGCTGTAAATAAAGAATTTCGTAAAAAGTAAAATTGGAAAGTAGAATGTCTTAATAAATGTGGCTGGGGCTTCCAAATTTCTTCGGGAACTGGAATGAATATTTGTTTTCTTCGAGCATAAAAGAGGTCTTTGTTTTCAAAGTAATCATCAGGAGCAATAAAGGTTTGATATTCTTTTTCGGTCAGAGAACTTCAAAAATCTTGTCTTACTTTTTGAACTTCGTAAAATCCGGGTATGAAAAATCTTCCATCATCATATACATCTCTCCCGCCTCCTCCGTCCATAAGTTGCTTTATTTTGAATAGGGCGAAATTGATTTTGCCGTTTTCGGGTCAGGGAATATCATCAATTATCTCTTTGCTGCCTAAGTCTCCACAAAAAGAATAATGCAAATTGTCTAATTTACTATCTTTATAAACCGGATGATTCCCACTAACTAAACTCCCCATCGCACTCACCACCCACGGCAAATCCCTCCAAACTCAATCCTCCTCCAACCTAACCTCCACATACAACTTCCTTGGGTCCACCATCCGAAACCGTTTCACCACATACACTCGCACCACTTTCTGATGAAACCATACCACCCTTAAATACGGACTCTGTAAATTAAACCCTTTTCTATTCTGGCAAGTTATCACTAAACCTTGCTCGGTGTCCTCCTTAATAAATCCTAACTGTAAAAAAGGCAAACCATCACTAATATTCTCCGAACCTAAATCAAATAACCTATCTCGGGCTTCCTCCATGCGTTTTAAATCTTCCCTTCATTCGCTCGTGGCACCTTTTCCGGCTTGTCATTTCTTTAAGTATGCTCCCAGTTCGTTTCATTCTTCCGCTTGAACTCCATTCTTGGCGACCAGATTAGTCCATTTCCAAAAAAACCGCATGGCTAAACCATAATTTATCCGACCTTCCAGCATCTTTTCACTATCCGAAGCAAATAATTCGTCCTCCCTATCAGTTAAAAACATAGGCTGGGTATTTAATTGCCTTAATAAATCCTTAAACCCTTCCACTTGCCTAAATTCTACCTCTCAAATCACTAAATCTAAAAAAAGACTAGAACTCTCCCCGATTATTTTATTATCTAAAAGCCTTTTACAGCGAAATAAAAGGGTTTTATCTCCCTCAGGCTTATTTAGTAAGGGGTAAATGTTACCCGTAAAATAAGCTCGATAACTCTCAATTAAGCCTGCCACCTGATTATTAAGCCCTTGGCAATACTCCGTAAACTTTTGCTTGGTTTCTTGGTAAGGCTTCGGTAAAGGCAATAACTTATACTCTTTACTTCACATCTGCGGATAATCCTCCTTCATCCGGCTAAAATCTACGAATAAGAAAAGACTGTCCCAGGTTTCTTTTCTCGTGTTAATAATCTGCTCTTGGTCGATTAAATTATTCTGCTCTAAATTACCCATAATCCTCTCCCATCTCCTCCACTCAACCAGAAACCATATCTAAATTCTTAACAAAACACATACAGTTCACTTTATGCTCATTCCTCTTATCCCGAGCATAGGGACACTTGTCATCTACACCTTCCCTCTGTAAAAATCCTCAATCATAACTCACTAAATCAGCGGGCAAGGCTCTCCCCGACACTAAAAAATCACTGGTTAAAGTGGGAATTAACTTTAACAAAATATTATT